TGAAAATTCATTTTAAAAAAATCACAAAAAATCATGAAAATTCATTTTAAAAAAATCACAAAAAATCAAGAAAAATCACAAAAAATCAAGAAAAATCAAGAAAAATCAAGAAAAATCAAGAAAAACAGAAAAATCGGTGTACGCTAGAATTTATAGTGAAGGACCCCTCGCTGTTCCTGCACTGCCGCAGAACCCGCTGCTCCCGGAGCGCCTGTACCGCTTCGCCTCCCCCGTCACGGCGCTCAGCTTCGCGCGCACGCGGCCCAACCTCCTGGCCGTGGGGATGGCCGACGGCGGGCTGGCCCTGCTCGACGTCTCGGCCGCCGACAAGACCGTCGTGGCCGACGCGGGCGACGCCAGCGAGAGCGGGGTCGCGTCGCCGTCCTGGGAACCCATCTGGACGATGGTCTGGATGTCCGGGGAGGAGTTCCACCTCGACGACCAGGTGCTGGTGACGGCCGGCCAGGACGGGCAGGTGGTGCGTTGGCGGCGCGGCGAGCGCGGCGTCGAGTGGACGCCCATGCTGCGGGTCGCCATGGCCGAGGGCGGCGAGAAGGGCGTGCCGCCGCTGCTGGCCGCGTCCGGGACGTGCCCGGAGCGCGGCGTGGGGCTGCGCCAGTTCGCGGGCGTGCTCTGCATGGCGCCCGTGCCCCTGGACCCCGTCCGCTACATGGTCGGCACGGAGGACGGCTGCGTGCACGAGTGCTCCACCAACTACCTGCACCAGCACAAGTCGGTCTTCGTGGCACACGCCGGCCCCGTGTACCGCCTCAGCTTTAGGTACGTCCGACTCGCCCTCCTGTGCTAGTGCGTGCGCGTTGGCTCAAAGCCAGCTTACCTGTTCCCAGCCCTTTCTGCGAGAAGATCTTCCTGACTTGCGGCGCCGACTGGACGGTCCGCATCTGGGCGATGGGCGTCAACGAACCCCTGGTCACCCTGACCGGAGGCATGCAGGTAGGGTTTGGCAGGCATGGAACCCCATGAAATACATGTGAGTAGGCTTGACCCCCCCCCCCCCCTCGGTACTTCGCAGTCCGTTGAGGACGCCTCCTGGAGCCCGCGCAACTCCACCATCATCGCGTCAATCTCCGGCGACGAACTGTGCATGTGGGACCTGCGCAGAAAGACCTACGTCCCGGCGTCCAGAACGACGTGGGCGTACCCCAGCCCGCCCACAACCCTCCTCTTCAGCCCCACCCAGGACAACATCCTGGTGGCCGACCGCGACGGCAGGGTGGTGGCCTTCGCCCTCCAAGACATGCCATTCGCGCCCTACTTCCAGACCAAGGCCCTGGTGGCCTCGCTCGAGCGCGCCCTCGTCACCAAACCCGCCCTGCTCGCCTCTCTCAAGAAGCAAGGAGAGCCGTTCGCATGAGTTACCAATTTTTGTAAGCATTTTTTATCATACTTCCCAATGTGTGTAGCCTATGTGACTACCTGTAGGTTTTTTTATCCTTTTAAAATAATTAGCCCAATTAATTTACATAGTGCTTGTATACAATGACATTAAAAGGGATTGTTAAGTGTTAAAGTGAGAAAGACACTGAATAGTATTTAAGTAGTTTACTATAAGCAGTTTTAGTTAAATTCATTGGAAGACTTTTGACAGATTATATGTGTTGGCAGTAAAATCAGCACCCTTCGAGAACAAATTCAATTACATTCCCCTCACTTTAGTCTTGTACATCACTTTATGAAGCATAAGTGTGTAGCAAACAACATAGTTTGTGTGAACTCATTTTTAGAAAGCAAGGCACCAAGTTCCACGGGTTCTAAAATGTCTTTTATCAACTTTTAAAGTAACATAGAGTCACAGCGTTCCATCCATTTCGTTAGTGTTTGAGTGAGGGCAGCACTGGGTCCTTGCTGCTTCAGTACTGACCAGACAGCAGTGTCAATGATTGAGAGTTTGGGTTGTCCACACATCCACTCGCTCTTACCCAAACTAGCATTGAACGTGCGAACTATGGCCTGCACAAAGAAATAGGAAGTTATCACAATACAGTGACCACAATGATAAAACTTGGGTGTTGTAAATGTCTTGACCAGCTTTATTACCTGTTTTTCCTTGACAGTCTTTGACCGGGCAAGACGTTGGCAGTTATCAAGCACCTCATCCAAGAGTGCAACTTGACTAAGATTTGAATTTGCTTCATAGGCATAATCGGTTGGTCCAACTCTGCTTAAGAACCTCAAAATATTTGTTTCACCACGGACAGCAATATGCCTAATTGGATTAATGACAAGCTCGGTTTCAGGAACTAGAATAAAGAAGAGAAAAACATAATATAAAATACATAGTGTAATTAAACAAGCCACCAGAGGATGATTAGTAGACAGAAAAATACCTTCTTTCCAAATAAGTATGATTTTCAGATTGGGAACACCAGTTACTTCATTAACAAATGTGAGAGCTGCTGATGGTGCTTCTTTCACAGAAGAATGGGTGTGGTTTGAAATCTGGATAGGGCACGAAGCACGCCAAACTCGCGCAAGTCCCAGGAGGGAGTATGGAGGGTTTTTCGGACTTGCGTAGACAACAATATCCCGTGACTCTCCTAACTAAAGAAAGAAAAAGGAGAAATGTTGAAATGTATAATATTTCAGTTACTTGTGAAACCTGGTTTGTGGTCATCAGAAAATGACCCTACCTCGGGGCAAGGTGGGCATTTGACGTTGCTTGATGTTGACAAAGAAGAAGCTGTGACTTGACTAGGTTGTCGCAGTATTGCTCGCAGTTCTTCAATGTCGATCCTTAGTTTAGAGAGTTTCTTTAGAATATCTTCTTGGCGTCCCTCCAAGGCAGCCATGTCTCCTTTTGATCCCTATAGAAGGTGAAAAGATAATTACAGGAAAACTGGAAAACTCAACAAGTATAGTTTTGGGTCTGCTCATCAGCTAATCTCTTGCCCCAGAAGCGCACAGCAAACAAATCTTGTGTACCAGTATTGCATCAGCCCTCACCAGCAAACTCAAGCAAAAGGAGAATAGACACCACACTAATGTCAGTATTCTATCATGTTATGCTATTTCAAACTGACTGGTACTGAAATGCGATTTAGTTGTTAGCATCCTTTTAATACTGCAGAAAGGTCATGGTAAGTGAGGTTAAGTCCACGTCACCGGCACACACAGAAGGCGGCTTAAACCCCAGCTAACCTGAATTAACTCCTGCACCCGGCCCGAGATATCTGCAAGACGTACCGTGGCGGCGCTAGAGGGTGCCTTATCCTGCCCTTGAGTCCTTGCAGCCTCCTGAACGGGCTTCATGGTGTACATGTTGTGGCTGGGGACTGGCAAGGGTTCGTCATGGTTCACTATGGGACGCAACTTGAACATGCAGACAGACATATCGTAGCGCAACACCAGCAATACCAGTTTCAGGACAATGTATCACCAAGCTTTATCGCGGCTGGCTTCTCCAAATATCCCAAATGTTACCAAAGTCACCAAACAAAGCGCACCATGGGCCCGCTGCGGTTCAGAAGCTTTCTGCTAGGCACAGCCTGTTAAAATACACAAATCAAATCCTTTTCTTTGGTTGAGCAATTTCTCATGCCGCAAAACGGGGAACTCCCAGTCCACGCTGGGTGCGGGTCGTTGTTGAGTCCGTGGATGCAGCCTTTTCCCTTTGATTGTTTCATTGTTGTCATATGTAGTAGTACTCCTGAACCTATTATCAATGCAACTATTACTCTTACGCACAGCCATAAGTTCGTCAGGTGTATTTATACTTTGAAGATACCTGCCTAGGTAAAATGGAATTCACTTGACACCCTTCTTTCCGTCCTGAACTAGGGAATAGGGAACTCCCAACTCCCCAAGCTTCTTGCTTTGTTCAAGTTTTGTTTGGTTTCGTTATGTTCCCTTGCAACTGCAAATGCCCAGGGCATGCCAGCTTTCATCTCAGAAGTGCCGTAGTTTCTATTGTGTACTGACAACTATGCTGTAAGAAACAGGCATCATAAACCTTCTTCCGACTGTTGTATTTGAGAATTATTTGTATCAAATGGCAGGGGATCGCTTTTTAAAACAAAATGTTTGGGTTTTCTCATTTAATTACAAATGCATGGAATCTAATTCATAAAGGGAAAGCAACATCTGCTCTCTCCAAAGAATAAAATCGACATTCAATTAATCACATAATATTGCCATCAACTACTGAAGATGGCAATTGCAGCACAGAATCCTTAACACAAATGAGATGGAATAAACTGCAAGCAATGTCACATACAATTAAGTCTCAAAAAATATAAAATA